GGGTGAGGGGCGGGGAACAGGACAGGGCTCACAGGTGTTACAGGCTGCACATCTGGATTCTCATGCCAGCTCTTTCATAAACTTGACCCCTCTGGGGAGGCTGGGGAAGGGGCCATCAGAGCAGCAGCCTCCCAGCGGCTCAGTGAGTGCCCACGATGTGTGGGTGCTGAGGCTGTGAAGGTCGAGGAGAGGAAAGAAGGCAACAGCCCCTCTCCCTTCCCACTTTCCCGCAGTTCTTGAGGTAGATTTGGTCTCAGGTCCCATGGGTGTTTGGGCCCAGGGAGTAGCCCTCAGGGGAGCCCAGAGTGGGAGGATGCAGCCCAGAGTCTAGCAGGCCTGGTGGCCCAGCCAGCAGGTGACACTCGGCCAGAGCCCTCGGGGGAGAGACAGCAGTCTCTGAGTTAAGGCTGGGTGGTCCTTGCATAGCAGACTTTCTCATCGTGTCCCACATGTCTCTTATACTTTAAAAAATGTATTTTTCATTCTTTTTTTTCTGCTCAGTTGGGCTATTTTCTATTGCAATGCTTACAAGTCATTTACCCCTTTCCTGTGTCTAACAGGGCATTAAACCCACTTATTGAGTTTTTACTTTCTATTATTATACTTTGCAGGTCTAGAATTTTCATTGTATTAAAAAATATTTCTTACAGATTATAATTCTCTGGGTAATTCCCCATCTTTTCACTTGTTTTCTCTACCTTCTCCCCCGCCCCCCCCCCTTCTTGACATATTAGCCGTGGTTATTTCAAAGCCCTTGTCTGCTCATCCCACGGCCATTATCATCTATTTCTGTTTCTGTTGTCTATTTTTTTCCTTTTGACCACATCATAAGGGTCTCTCTGTATGCTCAGTACCATTTTAATGAGAGGCTCTACATTTTGTATAGAATTATAGCTGCTCTAGACCATGCTGTGCACCTTTAGAGAGGGGCTGCCCTGTCCTTTGCTAGGCAGTCAGAGAGAGGCAGGGGGCCCGGTCTGAATCAACCAAGGCTGAGCTGAGGAGAGGTCTAGGGCTCACCCCATCCCAGCGGGGCAGGTCCGCCGGGCTTGCCACTGGGAGCCTGGTATGTTCATGGGCGCCTCTCCTTTTGGTGGATCATGAATCCAAAACTCTCCTCGATGTGGTAAGACTATCAAACCAATTCCCTCTTCTTCTCAGAGGCTTTCTGCTTAGCTTTTTATGTCCATCCTGCCCCACACATGTCAGAATCTGGCAAATCGCTCAAAGGAAAACTGGCCATGTGTGTACAGCCCCTCGAGCCTCCGGGTTCGTCTCTTCAGCTCTGTGAAGCCACCACAAGTTCTGCCTCCTGCCCGTGCCCATAACCACCAGTGCCCAGGGAGCAAGCAGCTGTGGACAGCCTACTCTCCTCTCCAGAATCCGGGCCCTTTTGGTCTTTGTCAGAACCCGGGTCAGTGTTCTGGTAGCGTAAGAGAGATGCATTCTGCCTTGCTTTCCCTGTCGTTCTCAGTGGACGAGGTG